AGCGTAGACGTCACTGTTTCAATAATGTATACATGCTAGAAATTCCAGCACATTCCAGGACTGCACTATTTGGGACTTTGTCATGCCAGGTGATGCCAAGAATACGTCGGAGACAGCGCATATGAAAGGTGTTCAGCTTTCTTTCCTGCCATATGTAAAGGGTCCAAGACTCACTGCAATACAAGAGTGTGCTCAAAATGCAGGCTCTATAGATCTGGATCTTTGTATGTTCTGTCAATTTCTTATTAAGCCATACTCTCTTTGTAAGTCTGGAAAATGTGCTTTACCAATACGTCTATTCAGCTCAGTATCTAAAGAGAGAGTGTTGGAGATAGTTGAGCCGAGGTACACAAAGTCATGGACAACCTTTAGTTCTTGTGCAGAGATTGTAATCCAGGGAGGTGAATCCATGTCCTGACCCATGACTTGTGTTTTTTTCAGGCTGATTGTTAGACCAAAGTCTTGGCAGGCCTTGCTAAAACAGTCCATAAGTTGTTGAAGATCTTCGACAGAGTGAGCAGATTGAGAGCAAGTCTAAAGTCTAGCTGAAATGTCTACGGGATTTCCTCTTCATTGATACTGCTGCCGTTACTGCTCACTCTGTTGAAGATCTTCAACAACTTTATCTCTATAGCCAGATGCAAAATAGTTTCTAATGCAAAAGACTCATCCATAGAAAAAAATCTGAAAAAAGCCACATGCATTTCTAAACACCTGATTTAAAGTCAAGATCAAGACATCTACTCCATGTTTATAATTTTAAACTTTAAAATTGTTGAGCAATTTTTGAGAAAATAAGGCATTAAAAAGATCTTAAAAATAGAGCAGACCTAATATATTTGTATTTTGAACATGAGGTGAAGGTTCATTCTGGATATGTAAACTGAATAAAACTGTTTCAACAAGTCATCTAAAATTAACATAGAAGAAAAATACCGGGTAGACAGTTTCACAACTGAGGTGCCACTACAAAGAAAATTGTGCTCCTGTGTTCCTATCTATCTATATTGATGTGGAAAGAGCAGTCTTTTAAATAGTCTGGACTAGACTGGCTTTATATTTATTCCATATTATGGCACATCTAACAATAATTTTTGAAATCTACATTAATTTTAACATACTGTCAGAGGGAAGTTCTGAGTTTGAATCCTAGCCGAGTCATGAATGAACATGGGATAATTGCTTGAAGAGATGTATGGTTTATTTGACAGCATAATATGCAAGTTAGCTCTCGAAGGTAGCCATTAGTGAAAAGATTAGAGACAGTAATATTTATAGTGAGGTTGAGATGTGTAGATATGTGAAGTTGAGCTGTGCAAACATGTTGACTGGAATATTTTGAGGGTATGTGTGAAGTCTTGAAAGGAAAAAATGTACCCCCCCGGGGTATGATAATTGTCTAGTTGTTCAGTGAGGGGTTTGATATTAAGGAGGGAAGCTGCATTGTGTGCCTATCAGATTTTCATATCTTGAGGGGATTTGCATAAGTATCTTAATAGTAACTTAATTATATTTACTGATTTCTTTGAGGCAAGGCATGCTTTGTGTTTCAGCCTATAAATCATTGTAGGCTAAAAGGCTTATATGGCAGTCTTTTGAAATGTTGTTTCTTCTCTAATATCATTAGTGGGTTCACTAGCAGATCAGGGAAAGCTTATGCTAATATATGGGTGGTAAATAGTGGAATGGATGGCACATGGGCATTTTCACCCCAACGCTAAAAAAATGCCAGCCAAACCTCTGGTCATGTTCTTCTAATTCTAACGTTCTCTTTTTTGTCAACAGCACCTATTTTTTCCTCAAATCCAAATTACGGGCAACAAAATACAATTTAAAAACAGGAAATTCCAATCTTTTTTTCCTTTGTGCCTTAAATAATTTCATATTTAACCTTGATTTCTTCTTCTGCCCTATGAATCAAGCTGTATCTTTTTGCTATTATTTAAAAGGCATGTCATTAGTCAAAACAGATGTTTAAAAAAAACCCCATCATTCTCAATAATACATTCTTTTTTACCACAAAAACGTTTCCAAATTCTCCACCATTCAGACTTGCAGCCATTTGTCTATCCCTCTCCCTTTTCTGATTTTCTTACCTTCTGTTATCTTTAGCATCATCAAGTTTTCTATAGTGAGTGGAAAGGTTTCCTGGCACTGCCTTCTCCTCAGCAGAATTCTTTATGAAGTGCCATTTTTGACAGTCTCCCAAAAATCTTGATCATGCAGTAATTCTATTTGGTTTTATTAGTCCCTACTGGGTTTTGCTACTTGTTTGCCACAGTATATACTGGCAGTGTCACTTCCATTTCCAATTTTTATCTTCTTCCCTGAGTCCTATTTACTTGAATTTAAAACTACCTTTAATGTCAGCTAGGATCTGTGGGTGATATCTACTTGCAGATGTTCCTTATCTTATGAGAACTTTCATTTGAGAATCTAAACTAAATTCTACATTCAACTTATGATCAAAGCACGTAAATATCAACTGTTATGTTTGGTTGCTTGCAAAGATGCACGAAAAAGCAGTAAGATGCTATAGAACAGTGGTTCTCAACCTGTGGGTCGGGACCCCATTTGGGGTCGAATGACCATTTCACAGAGGTCGCCAAACAACGCAGTCCGCCATTTTTCCCCCTTTTCCTTAGCTGTGCTACTCCCTTTTGAATAGAGTCTAATTCTATTGGCTTTCAAAAGCCAATAGGAATTGTCCAGGCTTTCTCTGCCCTGCTGAGCCCGCCAAAACTCCCATTCTGCAAACGGTGCTGCACCAGTTGAGTAGTCCTCGACTTACGACCGGTTTAGTCCTCGACTTACGACCAGTTGGGGGTCGCGGCATTAAAAAGGTTGAGAACCACTGCTATAGAAAATATTAGGGTTATCACAGAAGGTATATTAAGTTATGATTTGAAATAGTTGGCAAAAGACTAGGGCAACTGAGAACAGAGTAATAGAGTGAAAAACACCCAACAGTAAGTAGTCTATTAATGTGCATTAGATAAATCTAAACATAATTGATTAAAGCATGAATCACTTTGGAAAGAGTGCAGGAGACATTCAGTTGAAGCTGAGCAAAAACTGCCCCTTGTCAAAGCAATGGTCTAAACTGTCTGAGGTCTATAATCACTTCTAAGCTGATGATTTGATCTTTGATCTCTTCCTAAACAGGTTATAGCTCAATCTCAGATTGTCTTTTGTGGGTGCCTTTGAATTAGAATTGACTCCTAGTGACTGTCTAGACAAGTCTCTGCGGTGTTCTTGGCACGGCTGAAGATCTGGTTAGCCATTGCCTCCTTGCTGAGAGTGACAGGCCCAAGACCATTCAGCTGTCTTCATATTAAAGCAGAATTAGAATTCATCATCTTTTGGTTTCTAATCTAATCCTTATCATTACACCAAACAGCTCTCTCTTGGTTTATTTACTAATTCCTAAACAATGTCATAAAACTTTCCCTGTTTCTATTGGAATAAGAGTTCATTATAAGACTTTATTTTTTATTGGAACCTCACTTTTACAAAATAAAATTAAACAAAGTGAAGAACCACTTAATTAACAAACTTCCACATTTAATCATATTTATTAATTAAAACTGAATCATTGTTCAAATACTAATTGTGTTTAGCAACATAGAATTGAATCATAGATTATACAGAAGTATGTTTCAAGTACTTCTGTGTGAAAAAACCAAAAGTCTTTTTAGAATTTTCACACTATAAAATTTCAGTTGGATAAAAGCATTATATCCGATGGAGCTCCTGCCCAATGCACTATTTTATTTAAAAGCCTCATGTAAACTCCAAGCATCCCTGGACACTCATCGGACTTCCTAGTAAAGATATCTAGTCTAAGCTCTGTAAATCTTCAACAGTAATGGCTTGCCATTTACATTTGCTATATTCTTTTAGAACATTCAATGTAGCTTTTGCTAAGTTATTGATTTCCAGGTCTGCCTCTTTATTTTAATATTGACTAAGTAAAAGCTTTTGTTTCCAAAATCTAGCATTCAGTTATACAGTGGACTTGTGATCATTTTCTCCCATATGAGATGTATTAAAATAATGGACATAGCTATCAATTTATTTGCCACTTGTGTGTGAATAGATGTTGAAGATCCATAACTGATTATGTGCCATCAAGTTGTTGTTAATTCTTCACAACCCCATAGATCTTCTCCATGATGATCTATCCTTAATCTGATCTTAAATGCTTTCAATAATGCCTTCATCACCACTGAAACTAAGTTTATTTTTCCTCCCATCTTTCACAATATTAGAGCCTTCTCCAAAGAGCAAAGTCTTCACATAATCTGTCCAAAGTAGGATAATTTGAACTGGCCATTTGTGCCTTGAGTAAAACTCTGGGATGATTTGTTTGATGATCCATTTATTGTGGGTTTGTTTGGTTTTTTTGGCTGTCCATGATATTCTCAGGAATCCTCTTCAACACCAACATTTAAAGTGTCAATATTCTTCCTATCTTGCTTCTTCAAAGTCCATCATTTATTTCTACAGAGTGTTACAGAGAATATCATGGCTCGCATAATTCTGATCTTTTGTAATATACTGTAAGTAGGAACCCCAATAAAGCAGAATTATAGAATGCCAGTAATTGTAAGCCATATTTCAAAATCTTCTGCTAGATGAGTAGCCTTCTATAGTATGCATGCTTGCCCATGTATCCTATTCAGTTTATTTTTTCAACTTCAATATTAACTTATAGAGATTATCTGTATTTGGCATCAATTGTTCAGATTGACCACATCCTGTTCTTAAAAAATTTAAGAATACTGAATGATTTTTAGGGATAAAGATTGGGATGAACTGGAGAAGGAGGAGTAAATAATAAATAATGTAACTATTCTTATAAAACCATCATGAACCAAAGTTGTGGCCATATTTACTCACACTTGCATGATGTGGGTTTCTGTCTCCAGACTCTGTTGTTTGGAAGAGCTAAATATCCTGTTTAGCAATGATAAGTCTTTTTGTAGCCAGACTGCTGGTAATGCAAGTAGAATGAAGTTTTAATAAAATAAGAAGAGTTGAATTGTGAGGGAAGACAAGAAGTATGGGAATCATACTTTTTGAAAGCAACATCTGCATATATGTTATGTAGAGTCCTCTTCTGACTGCTGGGATCAGTTGTAGAGATGGATGTTCTGCCAAAGGCTCCAGACTAGACTATTCTTTCAAACATCACTGGATTTATTTATTAACAGAATTGTCTCACTATTGCAAAAGCAGCATTTGAGAAGGCTGATAAATTATAAAAGCAGGGAGGTAAATCAAACAATTTAAAAAACCAATAGCAGAACAATACAATAAAAAGAAAGAATCCAAGAGTAGCAAAACAATATGCAAAGGATAGAAGTGCTCCATTTCATTTGCTGAGGGTTTAGTTTAGTCCAACTGTACTAGTTACTATTATTTCTATGAAATTTTGTTGTCTATTAATATCCGTCAGAAGTAATACAGTTTCCACATGAAATTTCTTGAACAAAATTGTTGTGTAAATTATTTGCCATTGTGAACCATGCAGCTGCTTGGTTCTGATTTTATTGCGGTGAACAAGCAAAATGCAGAGGAGGTCCATAGCCCCTAAAACACACTGTACATACATTTAGGAACCTGGCCAATCTCTGAGTCATTGAGTGCTACTAAATTTTCAATATATGTGTCTTCCTCACCAACTTTATCACCTAAATGCAGAAAACACTGCTGAAATTTTACTGACTTCTGAAAGTGACAAATGACAATATTTTTGCTATGCGGCATTTTGTTTCAGTTTTCTTATTTTGATTTCAAATGTTCTTTTTGGTTTATCTCAAATCCATGATATCATTTGTAGCAGACTAAATATGTTAGAATAGGCAAATCTGAACATACTTTTTTCCTAGATCTCCCTCCATGTCTCCCTCAACTAAATATGGTATGCTACATTAAGTAATATGCCTCCTAGTAATTTAAATTATTGTAAGTGTGTAACTTTGAAAATATTGTTAACATACATATACATTATATTATATGTAAATCAACAGTGTGACTACCAACAGATACAGTTAATAGAATGGATTTCCTTTTCTCTTTCAATCCCCTAACACAATATTCGATGTTGCCCTTTACCTTACATGCCAAAGACTGAAGCCTATATTAAAACATGCTGTCACTTTAAAAAGGTCAATGGAATTTTGAAATATTACATCCAATCTATAAAATTTACATCATTACTGTAGATAACCATACATTTACTCAATATTTACTAAACTGAAAAGATTTAGTAAAACTGAAAAAATGCTAAAAGAAAAGAAATGTCCAGATAACAATGATGTATGTATTACAAGCATTTTTCGGAAAGACTTTCAATTTTTCAAAAGTGCAATGTCTACTACATATCTAATTAGCAATAACAATTAGAGTATTTATTTAATATAAATATATCTGTACATGTTTTTGTGTAGCTTTACATCTTTATCTAGATGACATTGATATTTACCTATTTATAGAACCTAAGCATGTTCCATGCTCTAATCTTTGGATTTAACAAATGTTAGATGTTGTGAAAATTGTAAATACTGTCTAATATATCATATTTGCAGCATAAATCCCAACTAACTCAAGTAATTAAAGCAATATTTTGAATGCTCTTTTCTGATTCCCAACCTATTTTTTATTCTTAGCTATACTTTGTCCTCTTTGCTTACACATTCTGAATTGCTGTTTGCCCAAAATATATCCTATTATAAAAAAATAGAGTCTCTAATATTAGGAAATCTGTAAAAACTAAGGTTTCTAATAAACCTGACTCTCTAATATTAGGAAATCTGTAAAAAGTAAGATTTCTAATAAACCTGAGTATTCAAGAAGCCATTCCAAAAATCAAGAATGGGCTAAAGAGCAGTGTATTGTCACCTTAATGGAAGTACTTGGAAGAATGTTTACATTTTGTACAAATCATATCTTGACACCAAAACTATATTGCATATACCTACTGCCAGAGATATGTACTACAGTTCTACTATTTGGTTGATTCTCTGTAAGCTACACAGAAGATTTGAATGATTTCTCTTTCCTGTGTGTTTCTTTTTGTCGTGTTTTATGCAGTGTTTTTCTTTAGCAGTCAGAAAATAACAGCTAAAGTCAAGACATTTAGACCTTATTAGAAAATCTGTCAATGTAATCAGAATTCTAGGTGCTCATCTTCTGGCTGGATGATTTCTTGCTCCCCATGGATAGTATTGATACCTAAAAAGATTTAAGAGCTGTAATTATTTGCTTAATGGAATAAAAAAAATTAATAGCATTTTCATTTTGAGTCAGATTAAATCTTGTGCTACCAAACTGGAATATACAAGAGATGAATCAACATGGATGGGTAGGTCAGGTTATGATCTTCTCATCTGAGATATAGCACTGTCTAGCTTGCTGAAAATTAGTAGAAAGTATAGAATTAGTAGAAAGCATAGACAAAGTGATTTTGCAAGGCATTCAACGATTTATTTTGGTTAGAGTGTTCAATATGCAACAACTTTTTCTAAACAACATCTTAAGAATTAGACATCCAAGGATGCTTTTTCTACCCCAGAAGTGTGAGCATGAGCACATATTCAGCTTTATTATGTAAAATGACAATTTGATTATTAAACATTCTGTTCTTTATATTTTAGTTTCATTGATTGGGGAGCTAATTCTAAAGTATATCAATTCCAAGCAGATTATTTCATGCATAGCCCCTTCAGTTAAAAAGTTAATTTTGGTTGATATCTCAAATTCTGATCTTTGAGAGATTCTGCCAAGCATAATTCACAATTTCAGATTAACTGGATCAGTGGTCTTGATTCTGTATCTAGAGTTTTGATCATTCACTGAGACTCATTTTAATATGGTTGATTAATAAGATTCTCTGATTAACTTCTAGTGTACTCCAATCTTAATGGGAAGTCAGAAGTTGCAGTAGTTATTAGGGATGGGTAGAGAAGAGTAGCACTTGCTGAAATCAGAATAACAGATTCATGACAGATTTTTCCAAATAGTTTTGTTTTATATCCTTTTGCTTTCTTGTGCTGGTTTTATTTGTGCAAACTCTTTCAAATGTGCTAACTAGGTTAGTGTAAATTTTTATCAGAAAGTTTTGTTTTTGTTTAAAAAAACTTTTTACTGAAAAAATTCTTTTACTGATTTTATTTTTAAAAATCCAAAAGTTCCCTTTATGGGGAGAGAAGAAATGAGAGGAAATTACAGTGAAGTATTGGGCTATTTTCCTGTGGAAATATAATCCAAATCTTACATATTAGTTGTACCTATCACTTACTTACATTCAATTAAATGATGCATTCTATTAAGCTTAATAAGGGGGTGCAATGGCTCAGTGGTTAAAGATGCTGAGCTTGTTAGCTGGAGAGCTGATAGCTCAAGTTTGACATGCAAGTTCTGCACATCTAATAGTTTGAAAGCAAAGTAGATTAATAGGTACCACTTTGATGGGAAGGTAACAGTGATCCATGTGCTTTATAGCATATAGTTGTGTGGACCATATGACCATGGAAATTATCTTCAGACAATGCTGGCTCCCTCAGTCAAGAAAGGGAGCTGAGCACCGTGCCCTAGAGTTAGATATGACTGATAGGAAAAATCTTTACCTTATTAAGCTTAATATGACATCATTGGAAAAAGAATTAATGCTTATATTCAATAACTTCATCTAACTTTAATATTTCCTTTTGAAATGAAACTCACCTGCTAGAGATAAAATTGTAATATCCACATTCCTCTAGAACCTCTTCAATTACAGTCTAAAAAATGAAGTATACTAAGTTTTATTATAAGTTTTCAAAAGACCTAAAAATTGCTCACAATTCCAAAAATAAAGTCTAACCTGCATTTGTTCATATGTCATTCCTTCATCCTCAAAAGTTCCAAGAAGACCTATAAGTAATTAAATGAGATAAAGTTGGATAATTTAACATATAATGATATAAATTTATATAAAAAAGAGCATTTTTTTTCAACAAAAAAGCTTGTTTAAAATAGAACATTATGGAATAATGTAGAAATAATAATAAAACATTAGTTGTTACAAAGTGAGCTATTTTTAGATATAGATCTTCTCTATGATTAAGAGATCCAAATATATATTTATTTCAAAAGTACTAGTTTAAAAGTTTTGAATTCTTTCTTTCATTTTTAATTAATTGCCATTCTTGTTATTAGAACAGTTTATATCTTCTCCCAAGGTGGTTGTTTGATCTTTTTGTAGTTACAAAAGTGTTAAAAATAAAAATATTAGCTTAATCCTTATATTCACTAGCTTGAGGAGGTATGATGGAGTAAAGATAGCTACATCAGAAAACAGCCTGTTGGAAGAATAGTAGATTAAAGATAGCTCTGCAAAGAGCAGAGATGACAAGCATAGCAAAGAACAAAGAGATGGCAAGTAGGCCATCCACAAGTGTTCCCGGTAGTTGCTCCTTTAAAGAGAATGCAAGGCAGCAGTCTCTTGTAGGTTTAGAGCCCTGGAAGATGAGGGAGTAGCATCTTACTCAAACCAAAAGCCACAAAGATATTGCTCGAGTAAGATATCCTATACCATTTAAGATAGATGTTGTCCATTTTCTTTTTGAAAACCTCCAGTGATGGAACACTCACAATTTCTGAATGCAAGCTATTCCATTGGTTGACTGCTCTCTCCATTAGGAAATTTCTCCTTAATTCTAGGTTGTTTCTCTCATTGGTTAGTTTCCATCCATTGTTTTTTAGTTTGACCCTCACGTCTTTGTAGGAGCCTCTCAAATATTGGAACATTGCTATCATGTCTCCCCTAGTCCTTCTTTGCATTAGACTGTGGGAAGAATCCAGAGAAAGAAATATTTTGGGAAATATTAAAAAGGCAGAATATATTTCCCCAAAGGATCTTAAAGGCAGAAACCAACCCCCTCCCCGCAAGTCACTCCGCCCCAAACAGAAACCAGGTCTACAGAAATGCAGATGTGATAATCTTGTCAGAAAAATTGGAGCCAGGAAGCTAGGATTAGAAAGACAAAGATCCCTAGAATCAACAATCCCTCACACCAAAAATCCAACAGTCATCAGCCACAGTCACAGCCACAGGGAAGCAGGGTATGACCTTTGAGACATAATAGGATTAACCCACCACCATCAGAATACCAAAAAGGCACACTCAGACTTGGGTCAAAGTTCATGCCAAAGGAACAACTCCAAACAAAAGCTCAAGAAGGTATAAAAACCCATCACTCCCTACAATATGTGGTCAGCTTTCCCAGAGCATTTTTCTGTCTGGCTCTTCTCTTCAATAAACTACAATCTTCTTTCTAAAGCAGTTTCCATTTTGATTATTCCCAGCTTGGACTGGACCCTGATGAAGATTTTTCTTTCAACAAGACTAACTATTCTTTGAATGTTTCAGCCTCCAGCCCTGTAATCATTCTTACTGCTCTTCTCTGCACTCCTTCTAGAATCTCAACATCTTTTGATATTGTGGTGAACAGAACTGGATACAGTATTCCAAGTGAGGTCTTACTAAAGCTTTGTAAAGGGGTACTAGAACTTCATGTCCTTAAAGCATCCTAAAAACCAGGTTTAAAAGGTGCATTTTAACATTGCTCTAAAAGGTAAGAGAATGGGGAGTCAATCATACTGTTTTGAAATGAGAGCATCTCACAAGAAAACAATGCAGGAGAAAACTCTTTGATCTTTCAAGGCTCATCGTTCTAAAAGTCGTTTAGAATGTCACTGTTCAGGACTCTTGCAAACAAAAGTCAACATGATACTTGAGCACAGAAAAGAACTATAAACAAGACAGGTCTTTCTGCTATTTTTGTTATCTCCCACAAGTGGAATAAAATGCTCTGTCTTTAAAATCTTTCAGCACATTTAATTATATATAGGGCTATGAAAATCTTTAATACAAAAGCAAAATGCACAGAACCTTTCAAAATTGTAAACTATCCAGACTTGCTGCAGTGTCAGTGAGATGGCCAGCATAAAAATTAAATAAATAAAAATTATGTTAATTAACTTAAACAGATTCATAATAAACAGTGTTTGTTTTCTGGTCTTTCCAACTATGATCCTTCTCTGCTCTTGATGTTTGAAAGTGTTCCTCATAACATTATGCATTTAATTGTTATTATTGTTGCTAAGTTTTATACTTTTACCTACTCATTCTGTATTTTTCCATAAATGCTCCAGGTTGAACACTGCAGTTATTTTCCTTACTTTTCAATTTTTTCTGTTGCAATTTTTGCTCTGCTTGTCCAACATTTTTGTTCATATTAACCTTCTCTTACTCCATTCTGACATTTATTTAAGCTTCTTAACATCCCATCTGATTATATTACTATTATTTTCATATCACTTTATTATTATTATTAAAAACAACAATAGTAGTAATAATAGTAATAATAATAGTAATAATAACAGACTTCCAGTGGATCAAGCCGCAACGATGGCGGCTTTCTTAGAAGCCGCCTGTTCCCAGATCATGTAAAAGCTGGCGGGACTTTGACAATCAGCTGTCCTGCAGCTTGAATCTCTTCCCTGGGAGAAAGGGAAGAGAAGAACTGCTCAGGTAGAGGAAGAGCTCCCCTGGATCCCTATAATTTTGGGGATCGGAGGGTAGAGTTCCCTCAGAGCCTGAGCCAACTCCGCGCTCCAGGACGTCTTTGTCCTGAAATTCTGGGACGAAGCAAGACTCCGCTCCCACATCTGCTTTTTTCGGTGGCTTTGTGAGTATTTATATGCAGACGGAGCAGACCAAGAGAAAGTGGATTTAGGATTGATTGTGACTTTAACTCCTGCAAGTATCATCTCCCTTTTTATTGTTTACTTTCCCTTTTGAAGAAGAAAGGGAAAGGGAAAGGCAAAATGGCGACTGTCTTTCTTGTTTGATTTTGCAACAAAGTTAAAAGTTGGATACAGTTTATCTTTCAAATATAGAGGCAAGAATCTTGTTCCCCTTTTCTCTTTTTTATTATTATTATTTAAAGAACTGTGATATTATAGAGGCAAGAATTTTAATTATGAATTATTATGGGCAAAAGTACAAAAGGACTTAAATGACTGGAAAAAATTGCAATTGTCATTGTTGGGGAGAATTTCAGCTGTAAAAATGAATGTTCTACCAAAGTTTCTTTTCTTGTTTCAGATGATACCTATTTTAAAAAAAGATGTAAATTTGGAGGAATGGCAGAAGGGTATCAATAAATTCATTTGGGCTGGGAAAAAACCAAGGGTTAAGTTTAAGATTTTGCAAGATGCCCAAGAAAGAGGACTTAAAGCACCTAATTTGAAATTATATTATGATGCAGCCACCTTAACTTGGATAAGTGATTGGCTTAATTTAACAAACAAGGATATTCTTTCTCTTGAAGGGTGGGATTTAATGTATGGTTGGCATGCATATTTAATTTTTAATAAGAAAGTGGACCGGGCTTTCAAATCACACATTTTGAGGAATGCCTTACTTCGAGTTTGGAAAAAGTATTATCATAGATTAAATTATAAAATACCTATCTGGGGGATTCCTAGACATTCAATCGAGGGAATTTCTAAGGGGATGAATTTTGACAAAATTTCGTATAAAGAATTATTAATTTGGTCAGGTTTGGACTGGCATTTAAAATCTTTAGATGTATTAAGGCAAGAAAATATTTTACAGTCATGGTTTCAATATTTACAAATAGTGGATAGGTGGACTGTAGATAAGAAAGAGGGAATAATATTAGAAGATGAAAATTTGGTAATTCAGGTTAAAGATCAGAATCAGGCTCATATAAAAAGAATTTATAATGCTTTAATAGAATTAGATTCGGAAACAGAATTGGTTAAAGAGTGTATGATTAAATGGGCTCAGAATATCCAGGAACCGATCCCATTGGATTTATGGGAGATAATTTGGATCAGAAATGTTAAATTTACACAAGCCCAAAATTTGAGGGAAAATTTTTATAAAATGTTTTATAGGTGGCATTTAGATCCTAAAAAATTATCTTGTATGTACTCTAATTTACAACCCAAATGTTGGAGATGTGGTAATATGGATGCGACATATTTTCACGTTTGATGGAATTGTAAAAAGGTAAAGGCTTTTTGGATTATGATTTGGTGGAACATTCAAAAGATTTTTAAAAGGAAGATAAAGTTTACTCCTCAATTATTCCTATTGGGTATTTCTGTGGATTTAGATGACAAAGAAACTATTTTAATGTTGAATTTATTAACTGCAGCAAGGTTACTAGTAGGTTCATATTGGAAGAAAGATTCGTTGCCTACTTTAGAAGAATGGATATTTAAAGTTTCTAACTTTGCAGAAATGGCAAAAATTTCTGCTTATTTAAAGGATCATACACAAGAAAGATATATTATTGTATGGAGAAGATGGATAGATTATATTCAGAAGAAGTATGGGACTATAAAGTTTCTTTTATTTTATGAGTAAATTTTATAGTAAATGTTTTATAAGAGATTTGTTTATGATGATGTAATTTAAGGGGAGTTAAGGGCTAAGTATGATTTTTTTTCTTTCCCTTTCTTTTTTCTTTTTCTTTTTTATTGTATATTGTTAATTTTGTTATTAATAACCCTGGACTCTGCTCTGGGAAGTGAGGGGGGGTTGAGGGTGGGTGGTGGGTGAGTGGGTGGGTAAATAGCTAGAATAGGATAATATAGATAAGGTAACTTATGGAAAGGTACTGCTTGGGCATTTCCCCTAGGCTGCATTCCTGTATTTGAGAGGGATGAGAGGGGAGGAAGGTGAAGGGAGGAAGTAGGATGGTAAGAGGAGAAGGGGAGGGGAAGAGAGTAGGAGGGGAGGAGAGAAAGAGGAGGGAAATAGGAAAGGTATTAGAGAGGGTGGATGCAGCATGGGGGGAAGGAGCAAGCGGCACCCATGGTTATGGTTATTTTGT